TTGTAAATACAGAACCTTCATTTAAAACTTTCTAACTTTGCTGGTTTATACTGTGCTTGGTTTGGACTGTACTGGCTTGAAAATACTAACTACCGATTTGCATCGAAGCGTTTTTTCGAAAGTGATTTTATCACTTTCAGATTTAAAAATTCCTGTAAACCTGTGACCTCCCCGTCCCCAATATGCCCCGACCCAACTATGCTCCGTCCCCACTATGCCCCGACCCCACTGTACTGTTTTTTTTTTTTTTTTGCAAAAACTTAGTGGACCAAATAACACATATACAATGTCTTGTTATATTTTATTGGAATGGTCGACGATTCATGTTTCAATCGTTTGTACTCCATAGTTTAAATTATAATCGCTTATTCTCAATAAAATTAATATTTATGTATTATATACTTCTATTAAAGCAATCACACACAAACTATTTATACTTCACAGATTATATTATTTCAAAGCTATATTATACTTCTATTTTACTAGATTGACAATGTACAAAATAAAATGCAACTAAAAAAACCTTTTCATAGATCCTTAAAATGTAAAGGGTGGGATAGTGAAACGGATTTTACCATTTAAATACATTAGAAAATCGCCGTTTTACTGCCTCATCCTGTATAATAATTTCTTGTTATTTTCTAAAGAAAAATCGATTTTCTTACATTTAAATTAAAATAAATCGTATACTGGTACTGTGATGGAGAAAACAATAAATTTTACCTACATTTATTACTTATTAGTTAAATATTACTAACGTGTATAGCCACAAGCAAACGGTGTGCAGGTGGTTTTATACGAAGGTGGAAATTTAACACCGAAAATTATGTAAAGAAAATATTTTTTTATAATAAAATATTTTTTACAATATGTAAATAAAAATAATAATACTCGGAACGACAGCGGATTGACACTCCGGATCAATTTTAAATCAATAACTGATAATCGAATTATCGAATACTGACTGGCAACTACCTACAAATGTCATCACCCCCCGACCTCTCTCTCACACTCCATGACCGGCTCGGGCCGATAAGGGATTTTTCGTTCCCACCTGTACCGTGTACATAAGACGGTGGACAGTTGATAACGCGATCGGGCGTTTATATGGTCACGATCAAATATTATTTTGTCTCGAAAATTGATAATTACAACAACTATACAATATAGTATAAACAACTCATGTTATCATTTCTCACGTAATGGCTGCCAATTAAAATTAAATTAGTTTCTTAAATTAAATTCAGTCATTCCGCAAAAAGTTCAAGTCCAAATCGATTTTATATCAACTGTGACTTAATAAAATCCACACCCAGTTAGTTATATTCTGTTGACAAATTGTTTTTTATTAAATAATGAAAATTGATAAAATAAACATCAACTACGTCATAAAAGTTTTATACAGCGCAATACAAGTTACAACCAGAATAAAAACTAGCGTTTTTGTAGAGATTTAAAAATACTATTTGAAACGACATACAATATTTTCTATCATAACTGATTTCATAATTCATTACGGAGCAGATAAGAGCGCGCATCAATATGCCACAGTTACAGTGTATACAGATAAAAAAAAAACATACATCAGAGTAAAACCAATACCTTCTCGCTTTGCATCGAAGCTAAAACATTTTTCTGGATTTTTGTGAAAAAGGCATTAAAAGGGGTCAAATTATATGTTTTTGGGGTCGGTGATTACGAATTTGTTATCAGTTCTCAATTTTAATCAGCCAGAAAGAACTTAAGTAAAAAAAAAAAAAAATTGAACTTTGTGTCAACTTAAAGTCAAAAGTGTTACTTGAGCACAAAACTCAATAGTATCATTCTGCATAGATCTACATAAAATTGTTTTAATGATTTGATATCAATTTTTTTAAGATTTTAAGTGTTTTTTGTTAAAATATACGCAATCTGCGAAAACACAGTTTTCCGGCTATTAAAAAAAAACTGTAGTGCCGAATTATTTTTCCGTTTAATATGTTATGGATACATATGAGTTCCAACTACTGGCAAATTTTCAACCCAAAGGTCTTAAAATTACGGCTAAAAACCGCGAAAAACAAAAAAACCTGTACCCCCCCTAGGGGGGTGGGCATTGGGTTAAATTCAAATTTGATATAACTGACGTGCGCGGGCATACTAAATAAATATTTCTTATAAATTTCAACTCGATCCGACTGTTTTTCTCGAAGCTATAGCCAGTAAAAGTTCTAACTTAAAAACTCGTACGGTTTTTTTTTTGTTTTTTCAACTTTCGCCTGTGAAGAGTTAAACTTTTTCAACTTTTACCCCCCAAAGTACCAACTAGATGAAAATTGCGATTTATAGAGTTGCTATTCGAAGGAATTGGTCCAGTATTAAAGAAGTTACAGTGTATACAGATAAAAAAAAAACATACATCAGAGTAAAACCAATACCTTCTCGCTTTGCATCGAAGCTAAAAATGTATCTACTATTTGGTATAATAAAACAATAGTACAAATATTATGTTTAATTTTAAATAGGAATTCCAAAAAGTAAATATGAAGAGTTTATTACATTTTATTTTATTAGCAGAAGTAACAAAAAACTCTAAACGTATTTTATTATAGGTACTACCTATACTTACGACTTCAATATTTCTAATTAAATAACACATTATACTGATAGGAGTCGATTACTTGTATATTTTCCTCATAAACTTATGTATGCGAACAGGGATGTTCTTAGAATATAAGAACATTAATATTGATAGTTAATTTTCTTCTTTATACTTAGTCAGCCAAGGTAAACGGCCGTAAACCACGTCCAGAAAGTAATCATAATAATTACAACATACAATTTTACTTAAATTATTTCTATATATATTTTTTTTACATCCTAAACTTTTCTGGTACACTGATCAATATAATTACCGTGAAGTAATATAGGACTAGAAGTGGAATAACGGTACAATAGGAGCTACTTTGTTTTGTTATTTGATAGTTAGCAAACTAGGTATAGGTATAGGATTTGTATATTTTACCTTCTATGTACTTGTCTATTTTACATGATTTTTCGAACCATAATTCATAAGGAGATTTGCTTACTTGACCCGAATTACCTGTGCGTTTTAACACAAACATTGCTAAGTTAACTGCCTCTGTCCACAATGATTTTAGAAAATTCTTGGAATAGATTTGTAATAGAAGAAAAGCAAGGGGGAAGTGGCGATGAATGGCTATTTTTAATATTTATAAATTAGTCTCTTAATCGGGGTGTGTATGTGTGTATATTTACTACAAGAACTCACTTCCTGCCTCTAGACTTACTATTACACAGTGTTATAATATTGTATATAGTACATACCTTGTCGTGTTTTCTAAAAGGTTTGTTCGGTCGCTTCGCGACTTATTGAGCTTACAATTTTATTACATTTTTTCAACTAATTATACATGTGTTATTATTTATGTTAACCTAGGATGATAACCAAAACGCTAAGGCAACATTACCAAACACACATTACGCTGAAGCTTCTGTAGAAAGTTTGGAACAGTCTTCTGAATATAAGGTAAGTCTCTTCTTCTTCTTGTTAGTAACATTGTTATTTTATGAATTAGCTGAAAATAATGTTATCATCTTTTAATAAACAAATGCAATGATACAGTGCCTATTTACATTTCCCCCTTTTTTTACAATCCATAAATGCTTATAAGCTAACCTAACCTAACCTAACCTAACGATTGTACGCCCCAAAAGCTGTGGTAGTCTATTACAGTTGTAATAAAAAAAAAAATATGCCAAAACTGGAGTAGAGAAATATTAAACCTCGAGTTGTTATTTACATATATTTAAATATTGTATTAATTAGCTTTTTTGCGTTTAGGGAGAAGAGAGACAATTAGACGAGGAGGTCGAAGAGGTCCCACGTGGACCAAAGCCGGATTTGGTAAGTCTAAAATACTAAAAAATTGACTATGGCCAAATTTTTTTTCACCTTTTTTTACAATCAATAAATGCTTATAAGCTAATTTCCTAACCTAACCTAATTTTTTTTTTTTCTTACATTATATCAAAGACTGGGGGGTGACACAAATGTTAGTCATTTCACCCCCCCAGCCCTCATCGTTAGGTGGAAGTTTATTTCACCGTGCTTTCTGTCGTGCCATGATTTAATACCGGTGATCAATCGGTGGGTCCACCGTTCATTGGGGGACGCGTTCCATCTTGTCTGCCAGGAGGAAAAAAGGGCCTCACGAGCTCTTGATTTGACTACGCTCTGATCCAGTAGATTTTTTTGATTAAACACCAGCTGGCGCTCCGTAGCTAAGAGGTTGCTAATAATTTCAATTTAATTTCCGTGTATTGCTGTTTTAGCACTTGTATAATAAACAATTTTATTGTTACATTATAATCAGAATGAGAGGCTCTATAAGCAAAACGCTGATAGCATAAAAATCTGATAATTTTTTTTGATATTTGTTTAAATCTTGAATTTGTTTTATTGAATTTAAATGATTGAATATTTTGCAATTTTTTCGTTTTTGTTTGGTCTTAGAGCACTGATATTAAAATTTTTAAATTAAACTATTTAATTTAATGTAAGTTTCTAACTGTATTTATTTTATTTTTTCTATAAACATAACAATTTCTGGGTGTATAGTATAAAAACTTGAATTACAGAATACTCAGATACACTTTCTGGGCTTAGAAATGGTATACCATAGCATTGAACTATTCACCTTCTAATATCACTGTTCTTATCTTTGTAGTCAATTCTCAAGCCGTTTTGCTGGATATTTTTATTCCACGATAGTGTTAGATAAAAGCGACATCCGTGTAACTTTATCTAAAGGCGAAACAGTTTTACATGAAAATTGAATAGTTTTCTCGAAATCTATTACAACATCGGGCGGTGATATCGTAATATTGTTTTGAAAACCATATTCACAAATTGATTTTAGGCAAAAAGTGCAAGATATTGTACTTTTATTGGATAGTAAACATATAACGAGTGTTATATAATAGCCGTTGATAAAACCATGTATTGTAAACATTTGTGTGAAGTAATTAGGGTAGTATGAAAATGTACCGCCCATGTAAAACCATTTTGTTATTGCAAGAGTATTTAAATTAGAAACGCAACTGAAAACTACACATTTGAACTCCTTGTTGTTTATTAATACAAATAACTCTTATCTATTTGTTTGAACACCGCGTTCGTCAAGAACTAATTGAACTTCTTCAATAGATTAAGGGAGTGGAGGTCATTATAGGTTGGCTTACCTGTCAATCTGTTTTTACATATTACGTACCATGATCCTATAAACTTCCAGTAAAATATTTTAAAAAAAAACAATTTGGTTTGTACAATTATAATAGAGTAATTAAAATAGTATACTATTACACATTAAGTTTACACTAATTATTTAATTTTTTATATATTTCAGACTGCAAGGGACGCTTTGCCGTTAAATGACCGGTTGGCCACGGCCACTGAAGCGTCCGAGGAATTAGAGCAGTAAGTCTTTTTAGACATTTTGTCAGCGGTTTCATAATTTCAGGTTCTTTAAAAATAACTATTTATATAAAATTAAAAAAAATTCTTTAATGATAAACAATAATCAAAATCCACAAAAGCTTCAAAAATTTTCGTTTTTAAAAAATTATCAAATTTATTTTTATAAAAAATGTACATTTAAATACAATATATTAAGTATAAAAAACCAATGAGGGGGAACTGTTAGCCACACGACTACTTTCCCTCAATTTGAATTTATTTGGAAAATATACTTTTCAAAATAAGAAAATAAAATATGTTAGAACATAAGTACTTACTAACCTTATACAGCTTGAATACAGTTCTAAATGAAATTAGTATTAACTATTTGGTTTTGCATGCTTATCTATTTCCTAATAACCTGTGTTTGTACATCTTTTTAATGTTTTGAAATTTGTAAATTTAAAGGATTAAAAACATACTAATAGAAGAAAAGCAACATGTGATAGCCAAATGTCAACAATATTACGAAGAAATAAGGCTTTTAGCAGTAACCGAAAATAGCCCTCTAACAAGGGCCAGAAATAAAAAATTAAGATTGTGTTTGTCCAAATGTCAAGATTTAAAAATTTTTATAGAAGATCTGGAAAGTGGTCCTGAGGTAAGTACGGCCCTGTATGCCGACTACATTTACGCTCGGTTCGCTTGGCACGGGCCGTTTTGTCGGCTATTCGACGCACCTGTTTTTTTGCGAGAGAGGGGTCCAGCCGACACATAATTGACTTGCGGTCATTTTTTTTTCTATAAAAACTATAAAGTTATCTAGATAAGATAACGGACAATTGAGTAATATATCATCTAGATAAGATATTGAATTATTCATTTAACATTTATCTAGCTAAAAGATAAAAGATAAATACAATTTTATCTAGATGAAAAATAGATAAATTATATTTTAACCTTCATAAAATATGTTATACGAAAATGTATGAGTGAACATTTTATATAAATACTTATATACTTTTGTGATATATACTTAGCAGAGAATTAAATATTAAAATTTGATAACTGCTACAAATGAATTACTTTTAAAACCGCAAACAAATATTACACTTAACATATTTTTCCAAAGTTTATATAATAGTATATCTATCTAACACAAATAATAAAAATAATTTGACAGTTAACAGTAATTTTTGATCCGTCAACCGACAGTATTTTGTAATATTTGCCATCCAGTAGATAATTTTGATTTTTATCGATCGCATTTGTAGACTCTGCTGGTTGTGACCCCGCAGGATTGTTAATTTGGTATTGATCACCCTCGTGACATCTTGTGATTTTTTTTGGTTTATTTAAAATGTTTGAAAGCGTACGAAAAGCTTTAGTTACTGACAATTTTATACCCAACTTGTCTGCGATATTTTCTACTATTTCAATACTCTATTCAGAATAAGAGCGGTCCGGGTTGCACATTTTATGTACCATGATCCTATACACTTGCAGTAAAATATTTAAAAAAAACAATTTGATTTGTACAATTATAATAGAGTAATTAAAATAGTATATTATTACACATTAAGTTTACACTAATTATTTAATTTTTTATATATTTCAGACTGCAGAGGACGCTTTGCCGTCTACGGCAGAAATGGAATTAGAGCGGTAAGTTTTTTTAGACATTTTGTCAGCGGTTTCATAATTCATAATAAATTCATTATTGACAAACAATTTTCAAAACCTATGAAAGATTTTTCATTGGATTTCATTTGGTGGGTTACTGAACATAAATATAGTTGGACAACTAAATTTGATATAATCATCTACAAAAGTACCGTCACGTCGTAATTAATCTATAATATTCGATGGGGTGACAGGGGTGCAATTTGACTTAAAAATTAATTAATGATAAACAATGTTCAAAATCCACAAAAGCTTCAAAAATTTTCGTTTTTTAAAAATTATCAAATTTATTTTTATATTTACAAAAAATGTACATTTAAATACATTCTATTAAATATACAGAACCAATGAGGGGGAACTGTTAGTCACATGACTACTTCCCCTCAATTTGAATACATTTGGCAAATATACTTTTCAATATAAAAAAATAAAATGTGTTAGAACATATACTCTAATCAGAATAAGAACAGGCTTCGGCGGCACGAACACTGCCGCCGGTGGGGGCTACAGACGAAATGTAAAATGGGCGGTGCCTGACCGCCGCCCGACGAAAACTGGTCGGCCGCCGAAGCCTGTTCTTATTCTGAATATAGTATAGCATCATTTTAATGTTATAAAATTTGTAAATTTCAAGGTTACATAAAGAAATTAAAGATAAAAAGAGAAATTTACAAAGGACAATTGAAGCGGACAGACAACAATTATATGGCAACCATGGCGTGAACAAAAAAAGGATAAATAGGAGTATTTCAAGAAACCTCGTTATCAGATCATTTTTAGTTCATCTTAAAGATCGTATCCAGGTGAGTACGGCCCTGTATGCCGGCTATATTTGATAAGATATGGTTTACTAGTAGAGCAGAGCCAAACAACAACTCGTTCAAACGGTCCAACAATAATTCAACTATTACATTTAGTATTATGTATAACAAATTAGAGGTGTACGCTGCTGGGCATATTCAAAATATAAATAAAAAAATGTATTACCTACATGTGAATACCGTACAGTTTTAGAGTGACATCATTAAAATAAATTAATATTGTTTTTTTCCCACTAAAGTTTCATTACAAATTTGACGAAGTTCCACTTTTGAAATTAAATGCAACCGTTTGTGTTTCATTAATTCTAGTAACAAGTGATTTCGTTCATTCGTGTTAACGCTTACCCAACCAATGATAAAATCAAATATCTAAAATATACATTTTGTATTTAAGTATACAACCTTCATTAAAATAATTAAGTATTTTTACTAGTAAATAGAATAATGTACCTTTTCTTCAGAGTCAACTACTAAATCGTCACACTTCCCTATGAACTCGACAACGTCATTAAACTGCATTTCATATAGTTTTCCTAATGCAATATTCGAGTTCACAATTGTTCACTATAGAAATGCCTTTGTATTATTTGTTAATTAAAACTGAAGGGGCTGCGGGGAAAACAGATCAATGTCAATTTTTTTTTTTGAAAATAAGATTTTGGTATCAAATTATTTGTATTGACGTATTGTATTTTTCATGCACTCGAATCAAGGAAAAAAACAGATTAATCGAGAGTAACGACCGCCGGAAATTTAGACATACAGGCAAAATGTATTACGTTTTGAAGTTAAAAACATGATTTTCTCAGAATAAACAATAATTGACATTGATCTTTTTTCCCCGCAGCCATTTAACTGTTTCAGCTCTAGATCAAACCTGATAACTCATGTACATTTTTTTAAAAAATTACCACCAATTAAACTATAAATATTTTCGTCTGACAGAAGCTTGGAAGTCTGCATAAAACCAACACAATTATTATGATTTATATTTGTATATTATTATTTACAGTTGTCTATCCCCCTCTTAACATTTGTGTCTCAGATCTTAGTTCTTACACCCTAGAGTTCCTGGAAACTATAATAAATATGAGCCTGATTTAAAAAAAATTGATTTTCAGAAACGAAGTGTTAATATCAGAGAGCCACGGCCAGGACTATTCGAGTGTTAGGCCCATTTACATAAGTAAGTATATCATTTTTTTTTTCATATTTTAAAAATATTAAAACCAATTTTATTTTGATACGTTTTTGAATAAGGATTTCATTCCAACAATAATAATACTTTTACAAATAAATCTGTCAATAAATTGACATGGTGTACATTTTTTAAAAAACAATTTATTCTTAGTTATTGCCTAAATAAAACTCCTTGAAATCAGCCCACTTAAGAGGATTCTTAATATTTCTTAGTTTAACAGAATATTTAATATTAATTTCTAACTCTTTCGGCTAACTCGTCTTTACATATTTGTATACTGTAAATAATTCTTCGTCAATCTTTAATGTCTCTATTATTTTCTCTAATTTTATGTCGAACTAAATCTATTTACAGCATATTGGACATCAACATCAACCATCATCATGAACGACACATGACCAGACTAGGCCCGCAACAGTAGTGATCCTGGTGAATAACACCAGGGTCCAACCACAATTATTATGTCAATTATTATTAAAGTATCAATATTTGTAACTTGTGTTTTAAGTATAATATTTCATTCTTTTATATCAACTCCTTTACATATATATTTTTCTTGAAACTTTGATATTAAACTTTCAAGATGTCCTAAGGAGTTGATACTATCAGAAACTTTCTCGTATAAAATACTGTTGTCAGAATATATTAGTTCAATAGGAATTATTTTTCCTAAATAACTGCATTGTACATGCAGTGCCGTATTTCCCAGTAAACACTATAAGCTAGTGCTTAGGGCGGCAATTTCTCAAGGGTGGCAAATAATTTTTAATATTACAATATTTTACTATATATAACTAGAACTGAAAGAAATGCTACTATTTATAAAATGTTTTTAGACTAACGGGATTGTGATAATATTTATTGTTAAGGTGATTTTCAATTTCAAAATCGTAGAGTCTATCGCCCAATTATAGCATTGCTGCACTATTTATAAATTTTCCGTTGTCATGTTGTTTTTATACGACTTGACAACAGACAAGTGGATACGACGATCGTAAAATAAGTTAATGGTAATAAATTAGAAAAATATAACATGGGTTGACCGTTGACGATTGTGTGTTTATCTGTATCTAATCATGAAATCAGTTTTTATTTTTAAGTCTATACAATATGCCTATTTCTATAAGTGTGTATACTGGGAAATGACACTGTGTCTATATCACAAAATATAATATTTAATAAAAACCCAATCATTAGTCGATGCAATCGCGAACGAGCTCATGTGGCATGTTCTATAGTATTATAGTAACGTACGTGTTCGGTGTTAATTTTTTTAGTGCAGATGAAGTTCACACTCCTAATTTGTATGAATATTTGATTTATTTTTTATTTTGATTTGTGACTTTTTTAATAAAACTGACGGTCCGCACGGTCGATCACGTTTGAGTGGCTATAAGTATAAAAAAATCGCGGAAGAAAAAAAAATTAAACTAAATAACTTAGTGCAAAAAACCCCAAAAATAGATTCTTTTTTTAAACCAAACATTATTTTAAATGAAGTTGACACTACACAAAAAACGCTCGCTAGTTGTTCAAACTCGGGTACCAGTACTACGGACATCACTTATATTCAAAACGTCACATCCTCAGAAAGTTTTTCAAATAATAATATTGAGAAAGATGATGTACCAATAGTCGATTTAATCAGCGAGGATCCTGCAGAATGGGTAATTAATGATTTGGCAATTGATCGCTTATGTAACGGACCCACCCTTATCAGGGCTAATAGATACATATATATATATTTATTACATTGTACAACTTATCAGGACTAACATATACATATATCTATATATTATATTATATAATTTCTCATTGTTAAATATTGCTAAATATGAATGTACCACACGTGCCGATTTCACATCAGACCCAAAAGGTCATTACAGCATCTTGCGAAAGCAGACAACTTGCAATTTTGTTCACAGTTGACCTCAAACACGAGGCCAACCACTAAGAGAAACTTAACGTTTTGGCAACTACCGTGCGAATCTCACATCGAAGCTAGCCAATTTCGACCATGCGAAGGCTGCACTCTCATGCCTCTACCCTTCCTCCACCGTTGACATAAGCGGATGTCATGGACGAGCGAGGTCATCTACGCGAGGACTTTCGATAATTGCGAGGATTCCCACGGCCATTCAGCGAGCGGACCAACATATAAGGGAGAACTTCAGTCATAGCAGAGCAGATGTACTGGGACCACCATACACTACACTTGAAGTTTCTACCTATCATCTTCTTTTGAAGTCTTAAGCGGCTTATAATTGTCTTAATCATCATATTTTTGAAGCATACTGAACTTATGCTATTAACTGTTTGTCGTTGTACATGTTTTATAAGTATATTAAATTAAATGTTTGTGATTTACTCTGAAGTTATTCTATTAAATATCTAAAAACCTATCACCACGATTGTAACAACACTCAAACAGCCTGCAATACATACGTACAGGGCTACAGGGTTGCTACACTTATTACTAAAAGAAATAAAACAAAATATTGACTATGATTTATCGTCAACAAAAGTAAAGTTTGGGAATAAAACGCGATACTTAAAAAAAAGTGTATTTTATCGGGAACTTTTAAATGGAGAACAACAGCTTCGAAAATTTTTAATTTATTCTCGTAGTAAAAATGCATTGTTTTGTATTCCCTGTCGAATGTTTGGAGGTTCTACCAAACTTGCTACAGAAGGTTTAACGGACTGGAGAAATGTTATTAAGGTTGTAAAACAACATGAAGTCTCTAACGAACATACTAACTGTGAAATAGTATTTTTACGTAGGAGTAATAATATTGGGAGAATAGATAGTGATCTCTGTGTTCAAGTAAACAATGAAATAGATTATTGGAAAAATGTGTTGAAACGGGTTATTGCTGTTATAAAAAAACTGGGAAGTCGCGGTCTTCCATTTAGAGGTTCCGTGGAAAAATTTGGAAGCCAAAATAATGGTAATTTTATGATGTGTTTAGAATTAATATCTGAATTTGACCCTTTTCTAAGCAATCATATAGTTCAACCCGGGTAGTGGCCATACATCTTACCTTTCTTCTACGACATGTGATGAAATAATTACATTAATGACAACACAAGTTACTAATGTAATTATAAAACAAATTAAAAGTGCAAAATATTTTTCGATTGTGATAGACTCAACTCCTGATATCAGCCACACAGACCAGTTAGCATACGTTATTCGTTACGTTAGAGATGACGGTTTTCCTGTCGAACGCTTCATGTGTTTTTTACCAAATGTTGGGCATAAGTCTAAAGCACTTGAAATGGCTGTAATGTCTTTTTTAACTAAAAACGATATTGATATAAACAACTGTAGATGCCAGTCATACGACAACGCCGCCAATATATCTGGAATTTATTCGGGTTTACAGGCAAGGATAGTAAAAAAAAACCCTTACGCGTATTACGTACCATGTGCTGCTCACTCGCTAAACTTGGTTGGGACTTGTGTAGCTGAATGCGTGACAGAAGGGTTATCGTTTTTTAACACTATTCAACATATTTATTCTTTTTTTTCTGCATCTACTAAACGATGGGATATTTTAAATTCTAGCCTAACGCTCGGTAAGAAAGTTGTCAAAAGAGCAGACGGAACTCGGTGGTCTGCTCGGCATGAAGCTTGTGACAGCTTATATCAAAACTATGACGGTGTTATGAGAAGTTTAAGTTTATTAGAAGAATATGATTTTGAAAAGGCGACGACGCGTTGTGAAGCAGCTGGCTTAAGACGTCATCTTGACCGTTTTGAAACAGTTTTTATGACTGAATTTTGGAATGCAATTTTGGAGCGTTTTAATAGCACAGGTAAAGAGCTTCAAAAAGTAAACACAGATTTGGGAAAAGTGGTCGAACTCTATAAATCTTTAATTACCTTCATAACATCTATTCGAAATTATGAATGTTTTAATGAATATGTAATTTTGACAAAAAAAAATAAAGATTGAAGAGTACGAGTTTGATAAAGTAAGGACTAAAAAACGCAAACTTCAAGCAGGCGAGACAAGAGAAAATGAAGTCCATATGACTGGAAGTGATAAATTAAGAATAGAAACATATTTTACCATACTGGATCGTGTGAAGAGTGAAATTGAATGCGCTGCTTATATTAATACATTTGACAAATATGATTTTAATCGTATAAGGTATGAAAATACAAATGTTCAAAGCATTGAAAAATGTAGTATAACTTATACGTAAGAGAATAGGAAAACATGTTTTTTCAAAATATTCATATTTTCCGAGAAAATCAGCGTTTTACGTTAGTTGGATCGCCCTGTATAGTTAACTAAATAAATGTATAGTTTTAAAGGTCGATAAAGCTCCAGAAAATGCCAAAAAAAAAAAGATAAAAATTTAAATATTGTTCAATATTGTAGTAAAAAATGTTTACAAAAATAAAAACTAAATAATTACAATTATTTTGAGAGTGAACCAATGCTGGGCTCACCCGATAAAATAATAAATACATTGTCCTACAATATACCTATAGTTATAAGGAATTGGTGTAAAATAATATTTTATAAAATAAAACAATGCGCAATTTTAGAATTTATGAGTTGGAAATTAGTCTTAAAAGATAAGTCTAACATATACGAATACGGCACTCAAAAGAGGAAAAGTAGCACATGTGTTATTTAAAGAACATTATATACTTATTTATATGCTGGCAAATACTCTTAATATAGGTACATATGTATTAAAACGGCTTGTTTATATAGTAACTGTTATTATTGATGTTAATATTACATTTGTTTCACCGCACCCTTTCAGTGTAAAACAACATATTTCTCCAAACTGTTTTTGCTAATTTTTCCTGTTTCAAAGAATTTCTTACAGCTAATACAATATGTTTAAACTGTATTTTACTGTTTTTGTGTTGATGGTCGTTGTGTTGATTGGAACAACGTGCCAGTCAGGACTAGATAAAGTCATTTGGAATTTGACGATGGACAGCCGCCTTTTGCACTGCAGTGTAGATATGATTTCCTACCCGGGTTTTGGCATGGTGTTGCCCGAAGTCAAAAACCTTGACAGAACTTCACTTATTGAATTTGGAAAACCAAATTTGCCGATCCTGCAGGTCGACACACAGGTAATAAACTTCTCATAGAAATTCAAATATTTTGTGCTTAAAAGTTTCTCCGAAATCTATTAAAATATGAAATACCTCTCTCAAAAAGTTATATAAGGAAGAACAAGTCATTTGGAATTTGACGATGGACAGCCGCCATTTACACTGCAGTGTACATATGACTTCCTACCCGGGTTTTGGCATGGTGTTGCCCGAAGTCAAAAACCTTGACAGAACTTCACTTATTGAATTTGGAAAACCAATATTGCCGATCCTGCAGGTCGACACACAGGTAATAAACTTCTCATAGAAATTTAAATATTTTGTGCTTAAAAGTTTCTC